CTAATGTTTCAATACACTTAGCTGGCTGAGATTGCACAATAAATTTGGTTGACATGTGCTTGGCTGCTTTATGGTTGATGTATCTTGTGAATAGCCTCACTCAGACGCAAGTCCCATTGAATTTAATGGTGCTGATTCTCAGGTCCTAGTTTATGTGTTGTTCTGTAATAATTGACAACACTTATGCTATTCTTCTGAAACGTTATTGAAACATTAGTCTTTCTGTTTACATGCAGTGTTTTTATCCTTTTTAATGATAAATGAGGACCCAGATTGTTGGGGGCAATATGCTGACTCTCTGCAAACCGCTTAGAGAGGCCTGAAAGGCCTATGAAGCGGTATATAAGTCTACTGCTATTGCTATTGCTATTGCTATAATACAGATAACACCTGTTCTTTCTATTGGTAACAAATGGTAAGTTCCAGTAATTTTCTAGTGGTGTTCAAAAATATCTCAGATGCTTCATGTAACTGATATTGCAAATCTTATTTGCATTGTCACCATTCCTATTTATTTTCTCTCTTTCTTTTTTTTTAAAATAATAGCTAATGTGCTGGAAGGAGACTTAATGGAGCAGGACGTGGAAAGCCCTGTTACAATTCATCCACCCAAGTTGCCCAAACAGGCCAGAGAAGATCTGCCAAAGCATTTAAGCAAAGAGGATGCCAAAAGAAAAATCCAGAGGTATGTTAGGAAAGACGGAAAATGCAACGTCCACCATGGAAACGTGAGAGAGACTTATCGCTATTTGACCGATATCTTCACTACCTTGGTCGACCTCAAGTGGAGATTCAACCTTTTTATATTTGTCTTGGTTTATACTGTGACTTGGTTGTTCTTTGGATTCATCTGGTGGCTAATTGCTTACATCCGAGGAGATATGGAGCACATAGGAGATAAGAAATGGACACCCTGCGTTAGCAACCTCAATGGATTTGTCTCAGCCTTTTTATTCTCCATAGAGACAGAAACTACAATTGGGTATGGTTATCGGGTTATCACAGACAAATGTCCTGAAGGAATTATCCTGCTTTTAGTTCAGTCTGTTTTAGGGTCTATTGTGAATGCTTTCATGGTTGGCTGCATGTTTGTAAAAATATCACAGCCCAAGAAGAGAGCAGAAACTCTGGTGTTTTCTACCAATGCTGTAATTTCTATGCGGGATGGAAAGCTGTGTTTGATGTTTCGAGTTGGGGATCTTAGAAATTCACACATTGTGGAAGCATCAATACGAGCCAAGCTGATCAAATCGAAACAGACAAAGGAGGGGGAATTTATACCTCTCAATCAAACAGATATCAATGTAGGTTATTATACTGGGGATGATCGACTGTTTTTGGTTTCACCACTGATCATCAGCCATGAAATAAACCAACAGAGTCCTTTCTGGGAGATTTCCAAAACTCAGTTGCCCAAAGAGGAATTAGAAATAGTTGTGATCCTAGAAGGAATGGTGGAAGCGACAGGTAACCATTTTTATTCTCATATTCTACATAAATTAACTTTCTTTTTTAAGAGGCATTGTATTGTAAAAAAAAAGTTTAAATGTAAAACACTCGCCATTTATTTACATTCACCAGACGTTTAAGTATCCAAAATTGTCTAACATATATCCATGCAGTCTGATGGTGCAAAAGATGAATGGAATAAAATGGAGCAAAACAGAGATGTGCTGTGACATTGGGACAAATGGGGTAATAAGACAGATATTCATTGTGGTTATAGTTTTCCTATCATTGTTTAATATAAGTCTCCTATCACTGTCAAATGGAAATGCTTTACAGAACAAAGTTGGGACAAAAAAATGAGCTTCCTCAGTGTCAGTACATTTTAAAAACCTTCTGTTGTTATGTTTACTGATCCAGGAAAAAGAGATCAGATATATTTACTAGAAGCATAAGGCCCAAGAAAGATTTAATTGCCAACCCAAGACAATTTGACAGAAATTACATCATTGCTTTTAGTTTAATGTCTTCTCAAAGTCGTTTCACATGTTCACAAATTTTCCAGGCTTAACCAGGTGCTAATTTTTCTCTACCATAGTAGAACCCATGTAATCCTGAATTCAGTCCCCATTGTGTGAAAAGTGAAACACTTCAGACAGTTTTACATTGATTCCTTCATGAACCAATTGGATTATACTAATGGATAGCAGCTGCTAATTAGTGTCGGGCTACATAGACCAATGATCTGATTTAATAGAAGACAAATTTTATATACATATTGCTATGTAAGTCATTCTTGCACAGATGTGATCTCTATTTGTGTGATACCATTATCTCATCTGTATGGCTTGACGTTTGGAGACAGAGCCAGAAAACAGATCACCCTATTCTCTCTGTTAGTTTCAGTTTAAGGGAGTCATTTATAAGATGGTCCTGGTGGCCTCTTGCCCTCCTCTGATGCAATAATCACATAAATCAGTGGAATGAAAGGCTATTGACATAACATTACTTTTAAACTACAAAATGCGATGTAACCATAAGCTCACATTGCTACAGCCAGAACATGCCAAGCTTCAAAGCAAAGTAATGATAGGATTATTTTTTTGAGATTCACATCTGTCTCAGAAGTTCAGGTGAGCTGGTAATGGAATCTATGGATTGTGTCAGAGAAATGCCCATATCAGTAAACTAAAAATGAATAAAATGACCCTAATGATTGAGAGCTGTCAGTCTAGACATGCATCTAAAAGACAGAAGGCATGTGTGGAATTACTACAAACTGCCCTTTCCAATAAAAAACATTAATAGCTTTTGGAAATACAGAAGTGTATTTCATCAAAAATTCATAAAAAGGGAGCACAGGAAAATGATGGGAGTAATCTGGTGTATTTATAGTAAAAAAAAAAAGCAGCTACAAGCACCATAAATTAAGTTATCAAGAGAAGGCATATATAACCAGAAAATCAGCCTTGTTGAAAAGATGTGTTGTTTTAAAATTGCTGGCAGGAAATAAAAACTATTAAATATAATAAGGTCTACAGCAGAGAAATGGTGATGATTATGGTAAATGTGGTTTGAAAAGAATTATTTATTCCCTTAAATCTTACAATATGAATTCCAGAACATTGGTTCACACTCATAGGCAAATATAGCAAAATAAATTACAAGATATTCTATATGCCTAGCCATAATTGCATTACTTATATTTAATTCGAATGTGCTATAGACTAGTATTAGTTCCTGAATAAGTACGATTCTAAATAAATTTCTGGCATGATACATCTAGCTGCAAATAAAACATCTCAAAATAGGATAGTAGAGTATAATCTAAATGTTTGATTTTCAGTAGTTTTTTTTTTTACATGATTGGCATAATTGGCATAATTAAGGAGCTCTTAAGGAGCTCAGGCCCAGCAACAACCCCTGAAGACTCTAAATTCTTTCTCAGCATCAAATATAAGAATTTGGAAGTGTAGAATTTTAAATATCAGTGTTGGAATTTGGAGCTAATCTCTATAATTTCCATCTACCAGCTGACTTCCCAAGCAATAAAGTATGTCATCATTCTATGAATGACAGTTTCAACCATCTAAAATTACAGGAGGTCACAGATTTAGTTCAGAAAATGTCATTACATTTTATTCACTAGCAGAGAATGAGTTTAGTTCTGTTTAAATGGAGCCAGTAGATTGATGTCGTTCTCACTAGAGAAAAACAGTCCCATTCTTGTCAGGCTTCCTGATTATTACATTGTGTAAGCCTTCCACAGTGCTGATTCTTCCCCAAGAGCAAAATAGAAGAAGTATTCTAAACAACCCTTTCTTCCCTACAAAAGAAAGATGTTTACACATTGTAAAAGAACAAAATATCATAAAATCCTTACAAGATAAATTACTACTTTATAGATAATCCGTACAAATCTGTTTGTGATTTCATTTATGCTGCCAACAGATGAACAGTTCAAGTCCAGTGTTTGCAGAACCATTTCTGTTACATTTTTAAAAAATAAAGCACGCTTTAGCAGCTGCAGAAAATGTTCTGAAAAGCAGTAAACTGCATAGAAAATGCTATTTAGATATTTAATGAGGCTATCAAACAGATTACTATTTACAAAGCTTTTTTGACTTCTAGTCTTGTGGATTGATTGTTTAGTCATATGCTGGCTACATTTAATTTTCAGAATCAATGGTATGCTTTAAAAATTCACAACATCTACATTCAAATTCCACCAATTGTACTTTAGGCTCAATTTAAATTCTGATTTATTTTGCTTTCACCATATGAAGGAACAGAAATGTGTGTGTGTGTGTGTGTGTATGTATATGCATATGCATATGCATATGCATATGCATATGCATATACATATGTATATGTATATGCATATACATAGGTTCACCGACAAAAGGGCGCCCGACAAAAGGGCGCCCGACAAAAGGG